TGTCCCGCTGCGGGCGTGCTCCAAGGCTTTGCTCCCTGTCTCCCTGGTCTGCAGGGAGACGGGGAGCAAAGCCACGGAGCATGCACGCAGGGGGACAGCTCAATTGCGCCCGGGCTGTCCCGCTGCGGGCATGCTCCGAGGCTTTGCTCCCCATCTCCCTGGTCTGCTGGTCGGGAGATGGGGAGCAAAGCCGCGGAGCACGCCCGCAGGGGGAGAGCTCAAGCGCACCCGAGCTGTCCAGCTGCGGGCGTGCTCCAAGGCTTTGCTCCCAGTCTCCCTGCAGACCAGAGAGACGGGGAGCAGCTTTTCTCGCCCCGGAGAACGGGGGCGGCGGACTGCAGCGCATCTGGGCGTCCTGCTACTCCTGTCCTCCGGGGCGAGAAAAGCCCCGCTCGTAACTGCGGATCCGACATAAGTCGGATCCGCGTAACTCTGTGACTGCCTGTAATGTAAGTATATATCTGTGATTTGCATTAATGGGAACTGGACAAATCTCTCATGATACGGTTTTTAGCAGCATCCACTAAAAGGCATATGGACTCTCAGCCTTCAATAGTGTAGCTGCAAAAAGCAAGCTATTCAGGAAATGTAGGATGTTACATAAAGTCCAGATATTTTACCCAAGAAAAAGTGGAGGGGAGATTATATTCAACCCATCTGGAAAGCCAATGGGACAGGTTTAGGAAAAGCAGACTCTTATGAAATTTGCATGGGACAAATTCATGCTTACTAGAGGACTTATAAAACATATTACGTAAGACAGGTTAGAAAAACCTAAGTAAATGATTTGGCCAGTCTTGCAATGAAGATGCCTGGATCCTTAGACAATTTACAGTGTAGGCAGTGAATGCTAAACCTCTCCACAAAACATACAGTTTTATTCACTCCTGTGTTAATAGGAAAGGCAGTAGGAAAATTCAGAAGATTTTTTTCTTCAGTGGCATCAAAAGTCCAATATTTCAAAAATCTGTGAAATGGAGTAAATAAATAACCTAGAGGTATGTATACAGAGGGAGATATGGGGGAAAGAGGATATTCTTTAATATTTCACTGCAGCACTTTTAGGCAATTAACTGCTTTGAATTAATAAGGGTTAATAAATAATTGAATCACTGTATGTGCTGAAGCTAGTTGTGTTCAAGGAACCATTTAAAAAGTGGCCTATTTAAAGTCCTTGCACAGAGTAATTAATCATTTACAATTTTTTAAAGCATTGAAGAGCCACATAAGTGGGTGCTGCTGTTACTTAACTATTATTCATGGGACTGTACCAGGCCTTTGCTGTGTTAATTTTCTGGTCAGAGAGATGATGTGCCATGTGCAGGATTGACAAAGGGCTGTTTTTCTCATTTGGGGAGGCTATGCCAAATGTGCTAGTCAAACTTTGGAAACTGATTTTCAAGCAAAGGCTAATGATAAAGCCATGGGGTTAGGAATAAAGGCACCAACATTCTACTACACTTTCTGACCATGTGGCCTTAGAGAAGTCAGTTCCCCTCTCTATACACATTAGTTGCTTCACCTGGACGATGGAGAATATTAGTTAGTTAATATCTGAGCTCCCTGGTTAGAAGGAGCTAGAGTTAGGCAATGCATTTTGCTATTAAATTAAATTAAATGGAAACCTATCTAGTATCTAAGTATGAAAAAAAAATATCTCTATCAAGATTAGTTTGTGTAGTTAGAAGTCTTCTGAAGGGTGCAAGTTGGTTTCCTAATGCTAGAAAAATATTAATCTTATAATTTATGACTAACAGGTTTTACTCCATAAAAGTAGGGAGAAATAAGAATGAAATAATAAAAAGGAATTCAAATAATTTCTTTGAGAGGTTTGTTGTAAGTGGGCTTGAAGAAGCAAAGTGTGGACACAGCTAGTTTAGACTTTCAAAACTACAGAGTTACAGAAGCAAAATAAAAAGATAAAAGAAAAGATGTTTACAATGGAAAAACCCCAGCAAAACTGACCTATCCCAGGAGACCATCTTGATTACAACAATCTTGTGGCACACTGATATGAAGGAGGCCACTCATGCAGCCACTCACTAGCCTAGGTTGCTCATCATTGTAGAGCCTCCTGTTGGACAAACATTCTTATTAAAAAGCGAGGGCAACTTCGGTCTGCTCTGCTTTATGAAAAATGGTTGCAGCCATGGTCTCTTAACATCCTTATTACAATCTATAATTTGTATCGACTATATGATTAGTCGATAAGGGAAGGTGCTCTGTCGCGGCTGGCACCGATCTAGGAGCTACTCCCCTGCAGTTAAAATGCAGTAGGAGCTGGGTGTTCAGGCAGCCCAGCTCCTAATCCATTTCAACTGCAGAGCCGCAGCTGGGATAAGTCCTGGACCAGTGCCACCTGGCTCTTAAATACATTTAAACTGCAGAGCTGCAGCAGTCCTAGACTAGTGTGTGCCAGGACTGCTCGGTACTGCCTCATGCCGGGTCCAGCAGCTACTGTTCATGGCAGCCCAGGCTGGCAGCAGCCCCTGTCCACAGACAGAGGCTGCCGGGGGGGGGGGGTCTGGACCCCCACA